TGAATGCTTCTGCATTGTCCTCATTCTCTTTGTATTCTTATGGCCTGGCTGGGTGTTTCACTATCATCATCACAGTAGCTGTCACTGAGAGCCAAGCACTGTTGTAAGCACTTTGCTCACATGATCTCATTTAATCCTTTCAGGAGCCTGAGGAGGGAGGTCCTGTCATTACCCCCATTTCACAGAGGTGGAAGTGGAGGTCCCTGAGAGGTTAACTAACTTTTCCAAATTCCCAGCTGGTAAGAGGTGGGGCTGGGATGAGAAGCCATGCAGCCTGAATGCCGTAAGTGCTCAATGAATGTTGGTGAATGAATAAGAATCTATAATAATAAAAGTGTAATATGCTAATTAGACCAGATGTCCTTCTGGACATCCTTCTGGACTACCTTCTGGATGAAGCCAGGGCTGGGAGGGAAGCCCGGGTCCCGGGTGCTGGAGGGAAGCTGGTGCCGGCAGCCGGGGGAAGGAAGGCCTACTGTTGCACGAATTTTGTGCATTGGGCCTCTAGTTTTACATATAAAGGGCTATTTATTTATATCTCAGCTCAGCTTATTCCCCAAAAGATTCAAGGTAGATGACTATGTAATTTTCAACATGTTAACTGTGGAAGCATCGAGTATCTTTTCCCAAATACATGTTTGTACTCATCATCTCATAACAATTTTGTGAGTTATTTTGGACAGGTGTTTTTATCCCCCTTGACAGATGAAGCACCGGGCTCTGAGAACTTACGGGGGAGTCTGAAGTCACACAGCTAACGCTGGCAGAGGGCCGAGAAGAGGCCTTCCCAACTCCCTCCCTAGTTCCCTGGTTCTCCTATCACCAGCCATTGCCCGGGAAGGGGAGGTAACGCCTTTTGATAAAAGAGGAGGAATTAACTACTTTTCCTCCCTCTAGAATTTCCTTTGGAGATGTGGTGGGAAGGAATGGACAAAAGGAAATGTAGACTGAAGCTTATCTTCAAGCTCTGGTGTTTGATCCGGGTCCTTGAGTAGGGTGCTTTGAAGAAGTGATTTCATTTATCTCCTATCAGCCCCCGGGAGATAGGCAGGGCGGGCAGGCGGGTGGAGAGAGGGGGATGCAAGTAGGTGTGCTTTTGAAGTTCTCCAGCCTTCATCTGCCTGCCCCTCCTCCTGCCCCCCATACATCAGCCTTAGCCCTGGGCATTCACCCTTGACTACTTTGTTCCTCTGGGTCTTCACGTTTCTTAGAGATTCCTCTTTTAAGTATTTCCAAATACTGCTGGAAGGAATCATACCTTAGCAATCTGTCAACACCTCAGTTGTGATTAGCAGACAATGAGTTATTACTACCCAGGGTAATGGTAACATTTAGTGAGTGCTTACTTCTGAGCACCTTATGTGCCACAACTCATTTACTTCGCACAGCAAACTGATGAAGTGGGCACTAGTATCATGCCTGTTTCATAGGTGAAGCACTGAGGCTCAGAGAGGATGTGTAACTTGCCCAAATTACACAGCTAGAAAGTGGCAGAACTAATAGTCAGTTCCTGAGCCAGTCTTCTAGAACTCTGGATTATCTAGACCAAGGGGTGGGCAAACTTTTTGACTCGAGGGCCACAATGGGTTCTTAAACTGGACCGGAGGGCCAGAACAAAAGCATGGATGGAGTGTTTGTGTGAACTAATATAAATTCAAAGTAAACATCATTACATAAAAGGGTACGGTCTTTATTTTGGATCATGCTCATGAAAAGGCAGAGTTTCTCATCAAAGACAGCACATACAATGGTTTTGGTAGTGTCTGGAGAGGTTCATCTCCAGGCCTCACCATGAATTTCCAGAATGGGGCCTGTGAAGCATTAAAAGACATCAAATCATGAAATCAGTAACTACTGTTAGTAGATTGCTCACCAAGACAGGTAAAAAGTCTTCATTTTGTTCTTATTTTTATTACTAGAGGCCTGGTGCACGAAATTCGTGTATAGCCTTCACCCTCTCCAATCCGAGACCCCTTGGGGGATGTCTGACTGCTGGATGACTGACTATCTGGCAGTCGGACTTCCCTCTCACAATCTGGGACTGCTGACTCCTAACTGCTCACCTGCCTGTCTGCCTGATTGCCCCTAACCACTCTGCCTGCCTGCCTGATGCCGCTAACTGCTCCTCTGCCAGCCTGGTCGCCGCTAACTGTCCTCCCTTGCCAGCATGGTCACCCCTAACTGCCCTTCCCTGCTGGCCTGATCGCCCCTAACTGCTCCCCTGCCAGCCTGGTCACCCCTAGCTGCCCTCCCCTGCCAGCCTGATCACCCCTAACCGCCACCGTGGCTTTGTCCGGAAGGACGTCTGAATGGATGTCTGGAAGATGTCCAGTCTAATTAGCATATTACCCTTTTATTAGTATAGATTTTTGAATGGGTACTACCTGAAAAATTCAAAGGCACGAAAGGACATGGGTACATGAGATGGTAAGTTTTCTACTTTAGCAACTATTTGCCAAGAAAAGAATAAAAAAGAACAGCCCACTCCCCAGGCATTTTGGTACCTGCAGCTTCTTTGAGCTCCTCTTTTATCTCCTTACTTTCTGTCCTGGGCCTCCTTGGGTCACTGAGTCAAAACTCATGTTTGTTAGTGACCTGGACCCTGTGACACTAGGAAGAACCTTCCGGACTGGGTAGAGTGTTGATGGGCTTGTGGAATCAGGAGAAACTTACATGCTGGGATGTCTCAAGTAAAATTCTAAGGTCTTGAAGAACTTCCCTCAGGAAATCAGAGGCCCCTCTCTCAGGACTCCCTACCAAACACTGATAAGTTAAACACAACCACTTTCTGTCAAGCTGCCTTTGTTTTTACTCTTAATTTCCTTAAATTGATAAACAAATGATAAAAAAACTCACCAAATAACCCAAACCAGAAAAGCTATGGCAGTTAAAAAACCCTGAGGAGTCTGTGTCTTTTTCTTATTTTTATTCCTGTTTCACATCAGGCCTGAAGGGCTCTCACAGGTCCTGCTCTTCTCGCTCAGTCGGTGAATTTGTCAGCGCTGCAGTCAAAATGCATGACAACAATCTTATTTATGACAGGAGACATGTTTTAAAACAGCTGTTTTAAAACAACTGACAGAGCCGCAAGATGGGAAACGACAAGAAAGTGCGATTTTTTTGGGAGGGTGGGATGGGGGGATAGGATGCTGGCAAGGGAGGATGATATTTTCCTTAATAAAGTTGGAATTCATCCTTTCTTCCTGGAGCAAGTAGAGAAAAGCACCCAGGAGGAAAGCTGGGGGAGGGGCATTACATAATGACCGTGCTTAGAGGTTGGGCCGCTGGCCCTTGGTGAGTGAGCTTCTTGTTAGGCGCTCAGAAGACACACACGATGCTGTAAGAAAGCATGTGCAAAGGCATCGCGGACATCCAGTGTACAGGCATCTCATGGGGCCGGGAGAAAGGCGAACTCTGCTTTCCAACCTGACCTCTCCCCGTGTAATTCTCTAGTCAACAGCTATCTGTGATGCTTCCCAGTCTAGGCAGAGCAAGCAAGTCGGAAACCCTCAGGATGGCAAGAGGACGGTAAAGGCTGTTGTATGGATGGCTCATTGAGGCCCCTGTGGGTTTAGGGAAGAGAAAGTCAGTGTTCTCATCTGTGCTTGAGGAGAAATCTCTCTCCTACAGCCAACAGCTGGAAACTGTAACCTTCTCTTTATAGCTGTTTCTCCCTCCAAGCTTGGAGGGAAAATTACAGAAGATGAGCCCTTACTAGGCTTGACTCTGATCCTCTGGGAGGGTAGAAGCAGAGAGCAAAAGTCAAGAACAAAGAAGGGAAAGTAGGGAAAAGGAAGAATGAATTTGGATGAGAAAGAAGCTGCAGTTTAAAGTGAATTTAAAAAAATCTGTGGAGGTGGTGGCGGGACCCAGGGCATGGAAAGGAATTGGAATGCTTCTGGCACATCTTTTTAGAAGGGTGTTTTGGGACTTACGTGTGATGGGAAGGATGGACCAGAAGCAGCTAATTTTGCTGAAGGATCTTTGATGATTTCTCTCCTTGGTTTCTGGACATGATCACGTCGATCTGAGAGCCACCAGCTTGTCTCTTCCTAGATTGGTGGTGAGACCGCCTAGGTCTTCAGATCCCCCAGCCCAGGCCCCTGCCCAGGCCCTCTGACTCTGTAGTTCAGACCTGGATAGTTACAGCATTTGGTCAGTTTCTTCCTTGGGGACACGAATTCAGACCTGAGAACATCCCCATCCCCTAAACCCGTGGTCTGCAAACTGTGGATCACGAGCCACATGCGGCTCTTTGGCCCCTTGAGTGTGGCTCTTCCTAAGCCTTAGGAGTACCCTAATTAAGTTAATAACAATGTACCTACCTATATAGTTTAAGTTTAAAAAATTTGGCTCTCAAAAGAAATTTCAATCGTTGTACTGTTAATATTTGGCTCTGTTGACTAATGAGTTTGCCGACCACTGCCCTAAACCATCCTGCAAGCAAAGCAGGGTATTGGTTTCTTAGACTCCAATCTATTTCGCCAAATAAGAGTGTTAATCCCTCCTCCTTCCCCCACTCTGCATGAATTGGATTACTTAAAGCATCTTTTCAGAGACGTCAGCAGTTTAATAGCGGCAATAAGTCAGGGCTGCCCTTGTGTTTTATTTTTCTGCCAGTATTTAGTTAATTAAAGAATGCAAATTAAAACACCTTAATTTATATAATATCAATACCAACGCCTTAAGACATTTGGCATAACTGCTCTGGCACGTCCCTTACATAAACCGTTCAGAGCCATGCTAATAAAAATGAAAAAGGTTGTAAATCAAATTTAATTTATTCATCTTCTGTTTGGTATTAAAGCATATGCCAAAATCAAGTTATTTATGAGCGCATCATAACAATAGGCATTTTTTTGTTGGTTGCAAATGACAAAAAAGTCCCCCCCCCCCCCCCCCCCCCGCCCCAGTGTTTTAACTTTGAAATGTCTCCAGGTGCATCTATGTTCTGGGCTTTGATCTCTAAAATTTATGTTTTTGCACCCAGGTCGCCAGAAAATAATAGATTTTGATATTGAAAAACATATCGAGCCTAAAAACATGGTAACATCAGCTCAAAAAGGCACCTGCAACCCTCTTTATGTAGACAGACATGTCCACCATATGGCCTATGGAGTATGACTTTTCAGGTGAGATAAAAGGTTGGTGATTTATATCCGATTTCTTAAATATTCCATTAAGAGGATTATCTCACAGGAGACTCAGATACAGACAGCGTAGGAAGGGATTTGGTGTGCGGCTGCTTTCTTGGGAGCCTTGGAGATGAACTGTGTGTACTACGTGAATGGATAGCCGAACACCCATTTTCATCGTTCCCCTCGTTTGCTGATCTATCTCTCTTTGTCTGGTGCACGGGAGCCTAGAGTACATTTTATTCAGTCCTGGAGGAAGAACAGTGGGCCCTATTCAGGGGCACTGAGGGATGGCGTGCTCTCCTGCTGCTCACAGCAAAGCTCCCTCGTGCAGTTGTGCTTTTAGACGCCCCACCACTGTCAGCCCCACTCTCTACTCAAACAGGTCTCAGGGCAGGTGAGAGAGTTGAGAGAAGTTTTGGAAAAACCCTCTCCACCCTGAGCCTCTCCTGAAAAACCCAAGCAAATCCACAAGTACAATCTTCTAGCCAGTCCCTGGCGTCCCTGCTTGGGAAGAAAACACCCAGGACAATACCACGCCCTACTGTAGTCATTATCTTTTAACATGAGCATAACACGCTTGGCAGAAAAGGTAGGAAATTGGGGTTCCTCACTTGGGAACTGATGCAGAAGTGGCAAGTGGCATCTTTCTGAGACCTTGAGAGTCACGGTCCTGGGCTGCCCCCGGGTTGTGGGGAGAGCCCTGCAAAACCCCAAATAAAATGCATCCTGGAGGGAGGTGCCCTTTCTGAGGTTAAAAGCAGTGACACAATTTTACATTGGTTCTATTTAGAGCCAATGGGATGCCCCTCCCCCCCCTTGCAGCAAACTCAATGCAATGGGGAGTTAGAAACACTCCTTCAAGCAGGTGAAAGGGGGGTTGTTGTTGGTGGTGGTGGTGAGGTACCAAGCAGAGCCAGAGAAGGTCCTAGGAAGTTAACTGCCCCACCCTTATTCTCCTAAACTCCCTTTTACCCCCATCCATCCCGTAGTGTCTCAGAAGATTATGGGAAAAAAGTGTGGTGTGGCAGATAACCAAGCTTGAGAGGCAAGCTGAGCTCTGCACTTTATCAGGGCACCGGCATGAGTGTCTCAGTGGTAGGATTGGAGCGGGCACTGTGGGCAGTTCTCAGGGCGTCCACGCAGAGTCTATACATCTCCACGTGTGATCGTGGGCATATTCTCTTTCAGTTTTTCTTCATACATGTCATCTTTCAAGGCTATTTTTAACCTTTATATTTATTTATACCCCTCAAAATGCAGATACAGTAAAACCTGAAGCCATTAACCCAAAGGTAACAAGATCAGAGCCAAGTACAAAGAAGGAGGGGGAGGGAGAAGCAGAGTAATTATACCAGAATGGGAAAAAACCCGGAGATTAAGGAAAGTTAATGTAATTGAGAACAAAACCCAGCTTCTAACTCCCTGGTAGCTTGGTGGGTGGCTGCCAGCTCTTGTAATACTAAGGATTATTGTACCTCAAAGGCAGGTTTAAAAGCCTGTGGAGGGCTCCCTGGCTCTGTGAGCGTGGTCAAGCTGCTTCATCTCTCTGAATCTCTGTTTCCTCAGCTGTAGAGTGAAAATGGCCTCACTCATCCTAGGGTTCTTGTGAGAATGCAATTCAACAACACCGACAGTAGCTCTTACTTAATGATTATGTGCTGTGTGCAGCGAATCAAGTGTTCGGCGCAGACACATTTCATCAATTTTAAGATGCACTTCCCCACATTTTAACGTCCCTGACATTGATTTAAAAAAAAAAAGCATGTGTCACCCATTATTTCACAGCATTTTTTTCTTTCTTTGTTGGATCTAAAATAATGGTGCATTGTAGATTAGGTGAAATACGTTATTACTCGTTCAGTCCTCACAGCCACTTTATGAGGTAGGTGCTATGTTTGTCCCATTTTCCAGACAGGAAACTGAGGCATCAGAAAATGGAAATGACTTGTCCAAGGGCTCCAGCTGGCAAGCAGTGGAGATGGGTGTGTGATCCTAGACTATGGACCCTTTCGCTTCACTATACTGCCTTTCCACAAATATTTCAGCAACAACCATTCCAACAAAAATGTCACTGTTGGGCACTGAGGATATGAGGTGAACTGGGCACTGGGGATATTAAGGTGAAAAGACATGTACTTGCCCAAAAGGATTGGATTCCAATGAGGGGACCAACATGTAAACAAACCACATTTCGTGGCTTCAAGTGCATCAGTGTTAACACAGCCAAGGCAGAGAGGCAGGGGAGGGAGTCATGATCAGTTTCTCCAAAGCCTCTGCCCAGGGGCTTAGCTCTCTAGTAGAAACTACCCCTTAGCAGGTCAAGAGAGACACTATTCAGTTTCCTGGGCTCTGAGAGGAGTCTGTTGGTGGACCTTCAAATGATGGCGATAGACAACCTTAGTGGATGCATCCCAACAGCAGAGAGCCAAGCACGGGTGCTGTACTATGGCCACTTTGTGTGTAGACACCAGGTGAGAGCTGGGACAGCAGATCTTTTTTTTTTTAAAATATATTTTTATTGATCTCAGAGAGTAAGGGAGAGGGAGAGAGAGATAGAAACATCAATGATGAGAGAGAATCATTGATTGGTTGCCTCTGCATGTCCCCTACCGGGGATCGAGCCTGCAACCCAACATGTGCCCTGACCAGAAATCAAACCGTGACCTCCTGGATCATAGGTTGAAGCTCAACCACTGAGCTACACCGGCCAGGGGGACAGCAGATCTTAAGGGAGCATAAAACTCTCAGGAAAGGTATGGAAATGGCTTTTGGAACAGAGATGAAGGGAGAGGTTTGGCCTTCCAAGGCTAGGGCTGGAGATCCAAACAGGAGGGTGGGGAGCCAGGGGAGTACCTGAAAAGGAGAAAACAAGGAAGGGAAACAGGATTGAACCACCTTTTGGGGCAAGAAAATGCAGCTTCCAAAGGGATGGGCCAATAGCCTTTGGGAGGCTGGGAGGTGCCATGAAGGAAGGAACAGACTTGGTGGGAGAAACCAGAGTTAGAGACCTGGTTTTGCATCTTAGGAGCACAGTATCTTTTGTCTCAATTTTATCATCTGTCTAATGGGCATAATGACATCGCACTTATTACCTCACATAGTTGTTGAAAGATCAATTAAGCTAATATATGTGAAAGCACTTTCCAAACTAAACAATGCTATGCAAATGTGAGTTATTATCTCTGCCTTTCTAGACAGACACTTGATCTTTCATTACCTCCTGGCTCTGTGAGCTTGGACAAGTTAGTGCAGGGAGAGAAGGAAAAAAAACAGGGAACGGGGCTTGCCCACCATCTGGGGCAATCACGAGAGCTCCTGGCTGTGGGTCTCACTGACCCCTGACTAGTGAGGAAGCGTGGGGACTCTGTCCTGCGGGTCGGGAGGGGGTCTGAGCGTTCATTACTCATTGCCCCCACTCCTTTGACCCCAGCCCAGCCAGCAGCAAGTGAGCTGAGAAAATTTTGGGTGTGTCTTCTTACACGAATAAGGGAAGTTCAGCAAGCCAGTATGGCAGGACTCAAACAATATGCCAGGACTTAACAAAACAAAACAAAACAAAACAAAACAAAACAACCAAGTACAACCAAAGCAAATAGATCCTGACAGAACTCCCCTAATAAAGAATACTTCTAAAATATCAAACAGACTAAACCTATATCATTAAAGCCTCTTCTAGACCAAACAAGAATGGAGTGGAAGTCCCGCCGGCCTTGTTCACAAAGGGCTGTGACCCTGTTCATTGTGGTGTGGCCTCCAGGAGGGAGGGGTCCATGGAGGCCTGGCCACCAAGTCCAAGTGTGCCCTGATCAGAAGGCCTCCCAGCCCACAGCCCAGAGGGGAAAGGTGGCTGTCCAGGAGGAGACAGGTGTTCACCGGCCACTCCAGGGACAGCAGAAGCTGACTCCACCTTTTCTGGCCTTTCCTGAGAGGGAGAAGGAAGGAGGAAGTGGGAGGGGAAAGAGGAGGAGTAGGAAGAGGCCCAAGACCTGCGAAGGATTTAAAATGAGAGAGGAAGTGAGGAGAAGAAATGAGGTGGACAAGAGCTGGACCAGCAAAAGAGGGTAAGAACAAAGTTGCCCTTTGCACACAGAAGGCCGGAATCCCACCCCTGGTCCCCTGGTCCCCTGGTCCCCTCCCAGACCAGTCTCAGCATCTCAGCATCCTATTCCTCACTCTCCTGGGAGACCGGGTGGGGGTGGGGGGTGGCTTCTGAGCAGGGCCTGCCTTCCTTGGCTGCAGACAAAAGGCCATTTCTGAGTTACACAGAAAATGTGTTACTTTGCCAGAGGGCCTGGTAAAGGCCGCCAGGTCCAATCCTGGGCCGAGGAGAGCGTCCGTGGAGGGGGGCTGTCAGTCACCGGGAACCCTCCTGAAAGGGGCCCCTTGTCAACTTCCCCTGCCTTTGAAGTGACTGGGATGGAGGTGCTCAATTAAAAGCCCATCAGTCTGTAAGTAAATCAACGCCTATCAGGCTTGTCACATCAAACAAACGATTATTACCCCAGCCCGCCCACCCCATTAATCTGGCTGTTCCTTCTTGACGGCTCAGGGTCAGGGCACCGTAAATCCTGTACTGGATTGTAGCCACCTGGATCGGGATGAAAGCGCTGGCGCAGCGAGCAGGGCGGGTGCACTCAGGCATTTCCCATTTCCCGGAGTTCTCAGAGTTCTCGGGAGGATGCAGGAGGCACCCGGGACAGAGACAGAAAGCGACACCTAGAGACACAGTGATGTGAAGAGGTCTGTGGCTGGACAGAGACACAAGAGACAGAAACAGAGAGACAAGCGGTGGTGAGAGAGCCTGAGAAAATCAACCTCAATAGAAGTAACTGGAAGAGGAGCCCCAAAGTGGTTGACAGGTGCCATAAAAACTCACCCAGAATGGTAAAAGTGAATAGATGCTTCTAGAAGACAAGCAGGTGTGTGGATGAACTTTCTCAGAGTCAGAGAGTGATGCCTCTGTTTCCTCAGCTTTCCTCCCATCCCTACCACAG